ATATATATATATATATATACATACATATATATTATACACACACACGCACAAAGAAAAACAAATAGATAGAATAGAAAAAATAGAAAGCTAGTGTTTGTTTGTTTTTTGTTGTTTTTTTTAAATAAAAAAATTAAAAAAGAAGATAAATATAGATAAAGTAGAATTAAAATAGAATAGAAAGTGCTAGAGTTAGAGGGTCAAATAAAGGTAAATGTGTTGTGTTTGTGTGTGCATTATAAGAAAATTCTTATAATTAGTGGTTGACCATTGTGGCTTTTTAAATGGTCAGTGCTTAGTATTACATATAATCTGTTATCTGTTAATAAAGAAGAAGTAGAGGATGTTTTATAATGATTCTATTTTGTATCTTGTGTTAATGTTGTGATATGTGTTTGTGTGTCAGCGCTGGCACTCTAAGTTCCCCCGCAGCATCCGCTGGGTCTCGATGCTGTTTGACGGTGTGGCCACTAGGGCGGCGCTGCGCTTGCTGCTGGCGTTTCTCTGTCTGCTCATCATGCTGCTCATGGCAGTGCTGAACATAGTGAGTCAACAGCTACATACTCAGACACACCTGCACAAACATCAGCTCATGACCGACAGGACTGTTTAAGAGTCAAAGCAGCCAAAAACGTCTTTACACCGCAAAAGCAGATTTTACACCACAGAAAGATGTCTGTAATGCTGCGTGTTCTTTCAAACCAGTGGACAGAATACAGCCAAAATACACATTTAAGTGTTCATTACAATGCTCTTTAACTATTGTGATACATATCTCTATACATATAAGAAGGTTTCCTCAAAATGAGGTTGTTTCTCCACTTCAGCAGCACTTAAAGACACCAAAATTTACAGTTTCATTCCTCTCTATATTTTGAAGGTTTTTACTGAAGGGTTTGTTAATATATCATTCACATGAGTTTTATTATTACATTTTATCTATTTGCGTCTGTAGATTTTAAATACAATATATGTTTTTATTGGCAGTTTTCTCTAAATGAGTTTGTTTCTCCACTTCAGCAGCACTTACAGACACCAAAACTTACAGTTTTATTCCTCTCTATATTCTGAAGGTTTTTACTGAGGGGTTTGTTGATATATCATGCACCTGTTTTTTATTGCACTTCATCTATTTGCGTCTGTAGATTTTAAATACAATATATGTTTTATTGGCAGTTTTCTCTAAATGAGTTTGTTTCTCCACTTCAGCAGCACTTACAGACACCAAAACTTACAGTTTTATTCCTCTCTATATTCTGAAGGTTTTTACTGAGGGGTTTGTTGATATATCATGCACCTGTTTTTTATTGCACTTCATCTATTTGCGTCTGTAGATTTTAAATACAATATATGTTTTATTGGCAGTTTTCTCTAAATGAGTTTGTTTCTCCACTTCAGCAGCACTTACAGACACCAAAACTTACAGTTTTATTCCTCTCTATATTCTGAAGGTTTTTACTGAGGGGTTTGTTGATATATCATGCACCTGTTTTTTATTGCACTTCATCTATTTGCATCTGTAGATTTCAATTATAATACATATCTCTAAAGGCGGTTTTCCTAAAGTGAGTTATATTTCTTCTTCAGCTGCACTTACAGACACCAAAATTTAGAGTTTTATTCCTCTCTATATTCTGAAGGTTTTTACTGAGGGGTTTGTTGATATGTCTTTCACCTGAACTTATACAACATTTTATTTCTAAAACATGGCGAAAATGTATGTTTTTTGGCTATTGACAATATTTTCTGGTTTATGGAGTGGTAGAAAGAGAAATCCTAAATCCTCACGGGAAAAACCCTTAACTCTAATATGTCAACAAAATAAAACAAGAATTTTGAACCTGACTTTATCCAGTTCTTTTGCACATTTGAACATAACATTTAAAAAAAAAACTTGTAATTACAAAAAAAAACATTTGCAATTCTTAATGCAATCAATCAACTGGGAAAGTATTGTCATTATTTTTGAGTAAAATATTATTCAAATTTGACAATATTCACCTGGGGTCTCTTGCCTTAAAAGTTGATTGATGTTTGTTCAGTATTTCCTGAGTACATTCGGTGAATAGTTAATGTTTCACTAACTAACACTGTGATTTTAATCCTGTTTTAATCAAACAAAAACTACAGCACAAAAGTGTTACTATTACCTACTGCTTTTTATTAGCTTGAACATACTTGTTGTCATATACACATTTTATCAAAATGCATTTAATTTGTTTTAGCCTTTACTGAAGAACTACATTTCTTGTTGTTCTATCGATCCTCCGTCCCATAAAGATCAAATTTATTGTTTTAAAGGAAAGTACATTTCTAAATGTCTGTCTGTACAAGATGTCTATATGTTTGTTTGTAGAAAGTCTGAAACTTCATCTGTTTGTTTTGTAGGTTTTTATCCCAGGTGATAACTGTTTAAGTGTTTCCCACAATGCAACAGTACTGAACACTCTCAATCTCTACACTGTCCCGGTGAGCTTTTAGCTTATATTATAAATGATCAATAGAGGTGATAATTTACATTAGTATTGGTGTCATATTGATCATATGTTAATATGATGTTATTGTGTGTGTTTGTGTGTGTGTGTGTGTGTGTGTGTGTGTGTGCAGTATTATCTGTACTGCTGTCTGCTGGCGATGTTGGGCGTGATTGTGTTTGTGCGTGTAAGCGTGTCTGTTAAAGTCTTCCTCCTGACCCTCGCTGTGGTGGTTTATCTCGCGCTTTTCCTGCACGTTTACGCGCCGCGCTCCGACTGCTACATCAAACAGCTCTACAGCGACAACAGCACGTAAGAGCCAAACACACACACCTGATTCTGCAGGACTACTGCCAGCATTTTGTTATACAGTACATATATATTGCATTTTATATAAATGCGATATATGAGATCTAGTGACTGAAAAGAGTGTAAAAAATATCTTTGCTTTGAAACCTACTTAAGCTGTAATAGTGTCTCAAGTGATATTTAGCAAAGTAATCAATTTGAAAATGTTTATTATTGTTATTTTTTATAACACAATAACGATACAAAATAACATTATTATTATTATTAATTTTAACTTACAACAACTATAATAATAACAATCATTATTATTGGATTATTAACAAACTCATAACATAATTATCATTATTTTACATAATTCTAATATATAATTTTAATTGTTTATAATAATAATTATTATTATTATGTATACAATAAAAATTGTTATTGTTATTATTATTATTATTATTGGATTATTAATTAGAACAACAATAATATTAACAGTTATTATAATTTTTACTATAAAAATGAAGACTACATAATTACTATTTTAATACTACAATTGTACTGTAAAAATTAATTAATTTAAAAATAATAAATAATTATTTTATTAAATTTATTAAAAATGATAATAACGATTTATATTTTAATTTTAATTCATTGTGCCGACCTAATTTATATAATGAATCACAATCAGTTGCATTAATTGAGCACAAATGCCGTTTCATTTGCATGAATATTTAGAATAAGCACAGTTAATTGTAAGTTTAGTTTAGAATGTGTTGAAACTTCTCTCTGAATATATATTAAATTCATATTACATTCAATTTTAAAGCCATCATGAAGTGGCACATGCTGCCCATTTTACTTCAATAATGTGACTTATTTCATATAGTTAATGAGAATTGAATGTAGGTGGGACTTAATTCATGGAAGGAATAAAGCTTCTTTTTATTACAGGTGGTTGAAAAATAAGAAGAATTAGTGATCTCAGACTTTTAATGAAAGATTATGAAGAAAAACATTTTTTCTTTATTATAATGTCACTGATTAATCGTCCATAATAAGAGCAGGACCATGAATTAAGAAGGTATATTGAGTCAATATTAAATTTTGTGACTTTTGTGGTTCAGATGCAGTTTCTATGTTTCTTTGCGTTTTAACTCAAACATGTGTCTAGAAACCACGTGATTGTTGTTAAAGTCAATAAATTGAGTGTAATTAATATTTATTGTGATATCTCACTGTGTGTGTTTTAGGCCAGGAGTTCTTAAGGAGCCCAAGATCATGTCCGGCATTTGGCTGGTCATTTTTTACTTGATTTCCCTTATTCTCGTGCGACAGGTAAGGCAATGATTTATAAGTGATTAATAATATATTAACTAGT